TGGCCTTTCAGTGTCATCGTGTAGTTGAGCTGTCAATACCAGTGTTTCAACAGGATCTTGCCTAGTTACTTGCAAATGCTTCTTGAGCTCTTCGATTTCCTGTATAGGATTTCGAGAGAGTGCGTCTACATTGACATTCGACGCGCCTTTTTTATATCTGACTTCGAAATTAAAATTTTTTAACAATAGTCGCTGATGAGTTACTTGTGAATTTGGATCGCTTATCAAGTATAGATGTACCAATAGTCTATGGTCAGTAATGATGATAAATTTTCGGCCGTACAGATATGGTCTGAATTGTGAAATACTTCATACTATTGCTAATAGTTCGTGTCGAATAGTAGGGTAATTACTTTCAGCAGGTGTGAGGGTACGTGAGATGTATGATACAGCGTATTCTCGCTCTTCGTCATCAAATTGAGAAAGCGACCCTGCAATTTCGATTTTGGATGTATCAATGGTCAGAAAAAATGTCCTGTCGAAATCCGGGTGTCCGAGCACCGTAGGTTCGCATAATTTATCACAGAGTGTCTCGAGAGCTCTTTGCTACTCTTCCGCCCAAACGAACGGCTGGCGTTTCTTTAATAGAATAGTAAGTAATTTAGCGATTTTAGCCAAATTTTCTATGAATTGTCTATAGTATCCCGCCAGGCCGAGCCATTGTTTAACATTCTTTGGCGTGCGCGGGACCGAGAATTCTTTTACTGCGCGCAGTTTGTCGTTGCACGGGCGAAGTCCGTCTTTCGAGATTACATGTCCGAGGTATTCGATTTCCGGGCGTAGAATTTTGCATTTCTTTGGATGAAGGACCAGATTAGTTTCGCGAAGGCGTTTCATTAATTCGATGATGCTCTCGCAGTGTTCGTCGAATGTTTTAAAGTATACGCAAATATCATCGAAAAATGCTACTACATTTTTTAAGTCTGATACTAGTATATTTATTAGTGACAGAAAAACTGGTGGGCTAGTTTTTAGTTCAAAGGGTAAGCAACAACACTGATATAGGTCTGACTTACATTGGAATGCAGTTTTATACCTGTGTTCCTTTTTTATGCTTATTTGATGATATGATCAATACATATCGAATGATGAGAATAGCTGCGCACCGGCCATCCGTTCAAATAAGTCGACTGGTAGAGGGACTGAGAAATTATAATCCGATATAAATTTATTTAGCGCGCGATAATCAAATACGACTGACGAACTGTTTCATTACACCAAGTTTAATATGTAGTAGTGGAAGTAGTATTTTTGAATGGTCGATCAAAGTTTGCTGTTCCACATTGTGACTTCTTGGATTAAATATCTCTCTTGTTGACTATTGTTTCTTTTTGTAATGGTTCTTCCGGTCACGGCTGTCCCATAAGCACATAGAGCAGGGAAACTTGCTATACCCTGATTGCTGCATCAAAATGATTGATATTATTTTTAAGTCGCCGCAAAGTTGCCATTCGTGTTCAGTATATTTGATTTTCTGTAGAACATATTTGATATTTTCATAGTTTTCTTTCAGTGATAATAAGTGAGCAATGGGAATACTAGCGTATTTATTTCCATTGTGTAGCAGTACCACCTTGAGGCTATGTTTTGATGAGTCTAAAAATAGCCTCCATTCTTTCGGCTTATAAACATTTATTTTTAATTTGTTCATCAAACCGCAGACATCCATACAGTATACTAATGAACTATCGTCATTATTTTTAAAATACTTTCTGTAAATAGAAAATAATTTCTGTAAATAGAAGATATAGTTTCAGGAACCGTCATCCCTCGATTCTTTAATTCCCGAGCAAGAAATTCCGTCGAATCTTTTGGAAGCCCCATTTTTCTAACGAGATCATTTAACGAATTCTGCGTTGATAATATATACTGCTCCTGACTTGTTGGTACGGACTGTTCCAGACTTGATGGCGTGGATTGCTCCTAACTTGATGGTGTAGATACCTCTTCACTGCCGCGGGTTGCAATTTCTGTTTCAGTCTCACCCTCTTCTCCTCTCATATTTTGACTATTTCTGCCAGCGGGTTCCTCTTCTACTGAGACGTATTCAACCTCGTTATCATTAGTCGAAGAAGTCATATCCATTTTTTCATCAGCAATTACTTCTGAGTGTATGCTCTTATTACTGAAGAAACAGTTGCATATTGTATTTTAGATTTATTTTTTACATTGTTATCTAACACCAACGTTTTGCAAAAGTAACAGTTTTCTGCTGTTTCTGGTATCAGTCATTTAGTTGGGACCGTGTATTTCAAAACTTCGTTATTTTTCGTAGCGTCCCAACGATTCAACATTTTACAAGAGGCATGGCAGATACTATAAGGAGCATGTGTTTCTAGCTCAGTGAAATTTTCTACTTTGAAACACCTGCTGTATATATCTATCAAATTATCACTCATTTGTGTACATAAGTGACCTACTTCAAAATTTCCACAGACGTAACAAAAAACGTTTTTGTCTTTGGTACAGATATGTAACGGCCTATTTCTTCTTCTTGTAACTCTATACTCCCCAGCGGCCAAGTTGCCTACCGATAGAAAGCTACGGTCGCTGGATGACGACGACTGCAGACTCGCTTTCCCACCCTGACCAGCCGGCGATACTGGGTCTCCTAATCGCTGCATCGTAAGTGATTCCTTTTTCGTTGTACCTGCCATAATTATCAAATGTCTTCTTGTATGAGGATACTCTGTATCAGCCAAGTTGTCAACCGACAGAGAGCTATGATTACTGGAACAAAATATGGTATGCTTGAATATTCAATATTTACAACATTTTCTCGTGATTCGTGCATTTTACGTTTTTCACTAAGAAAGGATGGATCTTGAACCAAATTTGACATCCGCATGCCTGCGTCATATATACAACGTGTACATGTGTGTATGTGTGTGTGTATGTGTGTGTGTGTATAAGTCTCTGTCAGATGGAAAATTCGAGTTCTAAACTTGATAAATAGCATAAAAAAGAAATTAAAGATGATGGCTAAAATCTAATTGCAGATTCGTATTCTACAGGTCAAAATACACGAGAAAAATGTATTTCCAATACAAGATTATTCCGTAAACTTAGTAAATATCGATAAATTGTCAAAAATGCCAATTTCATAGTTTTACTGATCAATGCTTACAATTTTGTATTCAGCGAGCGAAAACAATAGGAATATATGTGCCGCGTGCCTGGGTCTGAAACTTTGCTTTTTTTGTGTGCCGGTGTAATTAGTCGGGCCTTGTGGCGGAAGCACTTCGAGTGTACGGCTGAGACCCCCCGAAATTCCCCGACACAACTGAATAATAAATATATTCCGCAAAATAACAAAGTAAAATACTTAGACATCCACCTTGATAGGAAACTGACATGGAATGAAGACATATTTATAAAATGTAAACAACTAGGACTGCAACTGAGGAAAATATTCTGGCTCATTGGAGGAAAATCGGAGCTATCGATAGAAAATAAATTATTGTTATAAAAGCGATAACCAAACTTATATAGACATATAGCATCCAATTATGGGGCGTTGCTTAAAAACTCAAACATTGAAATCTTGGAAAGATTTCAATCAAAAGTATTACGAAATATAATGCGATCACCATTATTCGTTCCCAATCAAATAATAAGAAACAACTTGCATATTCCAACAGTAAAAGAAGAAGTCAAAAAATTATTCGCAAACTACAATACAAGGCTTTAAAACCATCCCAACAAACTTATCAACAAACTATAGAAAACAGCTATCACCAACACAAGACTTAATAAACACAAACTTATAAATCAATAATAAAGAAAAGTAAAATTAAATATAATGGACCAAGTATAATATAAATCAAAGTCAGATTACTCAGTGGAGTACTCGGCCGCTATACATATAATTGTTCGATGTATTAACTAATTTACTTATTGTCTAAACATTAATGACAGATTGTACAGTTTCTTGGGAAGTAATAAAAAAAAATATTTGTGATCAGTACTCTTACTTTAGAAACATAAAAGTGTAACAGGTTACTTCTGAGCAATTCAGATACGAAATGGCTTCAACATCTTTCGAAAAGTTCAATATTTTTTTCTCAAAATTCAAGAAAATATCAATAAAGCTTTTTGATTAGAAATTTTATATAGAATATAGTAGTTTTTTATTTATTTACAAATTTTGAATTTTATTACTCGACCGTCGTCATATATTGCAGACGCCATCTTGAATTTTCACATTTTTACTTCAGATTTCTAATCAACGAGGTAAAAATATGATTAGAACGGTTCGGTACAATTCGTAGCGTGATTGCGCTCCTCAAAAAATTCAAAAATAGGAAGTGTATAAATTTGTCAAATTTGTTATCCTTTGCGCAATATTTTCTGAAATCAGTAGTATAAAAAAAATTTTTTAGTTCAACGGTGTTGTTTTATCTAGTTGCAGATATAATATATACCCTGTCTATGTGATTATTTTGGCTGTTGCTTTATTTATTATATCATCAGACGATATAGAACTGATAAAAGATGGATTAAAAGCACTTCCATCATGATTATAAAAATTCAAACTAAAATCCGTAGTAAAATTGAGAAATGTCGAAAAAGACTTTCGCACTACATTAGAACTGTAAACATCTTTTACATGTCTTATTCTATTATTGTCTTACCCGCAGTCAGGGTTAGTCAACATATGATACATGAATTGATGTCTAAAAACAAGTAGCGTAAACAAAATGCGGGAAACGCCTGTTCTTTAAAATAATGAACAAAACGCGTAACTCAAACCTAATTCTTTGTTTCTATGATAAAAAAATTGCAAAACAGAAAAGATTACATATCCATATACGATAAGGCCCTTGTTCTATATAATACGCATGGAGGATCGCATAGTATTCACTATGCAATTTATCCCTTTTTTTAAATCAACATTAAATCGATCAAAATAATTCTTAGATATAGTTTAATATGTAGATATTTGAATTTTATTATGTATTGTTTTTATAATATAAATAATTCATCGTGGATTTTTTCAGATTTACAGGCATCACGACGAAATACACAATCCACAAAATATGTGTCTTACAAATTTCATATCAGTAATGATTATAATTATATTGTTACAGGAGCCTATTTTTGGTGAGTATTTATATTTATTCTACTAAAAAAAAATATGAGGACTTTATTTCCTATGTAACGTCGGGCCGTTTATTATTAATAAATTATTTTTTCCTCATGTACTTTTGCGTAGCTTAAATTTTAACTCCGTAAATGAGCAAAGGGAGAGCATTCAGCTGAAGCAGCTGGAGGACACGTGAAAATAGCCGTCCCTTTGTCGCGCGCTTTCCGAATTTCACCTCGAAAGATCGTAAAGTTTTTTTTGAATAGGTTTAGATATAGAGTAAAGGAGACGCGGAATTTCGCCTCCATCCTGTTATTCGATTTCACCCAAAAGTTTTCCACTTTTAGAAGCTAAAACTTTTGCTATATAAAAAAAATCTTAATAATTAATTTTACACAAATGAATCGGGAAAATAACAGCATGATAGGAAAATTTCGCAGCTTCTTGAAACCTCCCACACACTTTTTGATTAGAAACATAGTTACCACGCAATCACCGAAAATATCTCAAAGTTTTGAAATTATAAATTAGAAAATGAGATAAATAGTCGAAAAACAGTCACTTGAATGAATTTTAGCAAATCAGTTATACAGTCCACAATTAAATAATGCCCCTTTTTCATTCCATATTAATTAAACAACGAATTGAGTTATTTATTTAAGTTACTAATTGTAAACATGTAGGATCAAAGATTTTCGCATAAAATATGTTAAATATTAAGAAACTTGCGTTATTATTAAGAATTAATTGTAACAATTTTACGTAATAAATAAATTAATAATTATAAGAAAATCTGTAATGAATATGGTACTTGGAGAGTCATCTAGCGAGATAGGGCCCAAACTCTTGAATGCGCGCCCCCAATTCTCACCACGCCCCTGAACCAATTAGGGCCCGAAATCCGAAAGAGAAAAGGAGGGAAAATCTCGGTCAGCCAATTAGAATTTACTGGCATTTCCACTCTTCCCAAATTTTGAGGGACTGAAAGAGGGATTTTCCTCCCAACCACCCCCAGGGTTTAAAAGGGCGTGCGCAAGCGAAAATCGTCCACTCTCTCGCTCCTCGCAAGCCTCTCAAGCTTTACTACATTCGACCAAGTGTCAGATTCGGATTCTCCAAGTACCAGCCAAGTCTATTGAATAAAACAAAAGTAAGTTTCAACAAAATTTTTATTTCTATCTTTCCTCTTCCTTTCTAGTAAAATAGTTAGATCGGAATTCGAAAAAATAAGTCTTAGAAGAGTATTTCAACAAGGATTGGGATACTTTTCTACAAGACAGTCGCGCCGTTAAAGAAAACTTAAATTCTTTTATGTGATAATTCTGGCAAGGTTTGGGATTTTCACATCCAAGTCCCGATTCCATTGGACCCTGGTGTTTGATGGAAGGCTTGCAGTCAAGTTTTATTTTTCACTCTTTTTACGCGAAACGCGAAATAGAAAAGCTCTGATTCTCCAATTTCTCGTCCCGGTTTAAGCGTACGCACGCAAACCAAATAGAGCACCTGAGATTACGTCCGCCTCAGACGTACCTGAGATAGTGACCCGGACGTCACACCTAAATAGACATCATGAAAAATAAAAAAGTGACCTCCATTCAATATATCAATTCGTACGTAAGAGTTCCTGATTTTATATCTATCTATTGTGATTAAAAGTTAAAAAAAATATATATATATACACACACACAGTCTCTTGGATTGTCCGAAAATGTAATCAAACCCATTATTCGAAAAAACATTTTGAATAAATTTATAGTTTTGTTATTAACAATTTTATAGATTTGTTATTAATGGTGATGACTACTTTTATCCTTGAATTTATTTTTAAAGGTCATTTTAAAATCAACTTTATCTTTTGAAATAAGTGACTCTAGTTCTTGATTTGGAAAGTGCGGGAAATTCTACTTTCAGATTATGTAACATAGTACGGATCCAGCTAACCATCCAAGGTGTACAATTCCATTTGATTTTTTCCTTAACCTGTTAACCGGGGAAATCCCTTTCTAATTACGCAACATATAACGGGCGCGTCCTTTTCCACTAAGACGTGTATGAATGACGTATTACCATAGTAGTAGTAAAATATACGTCCCGCCCGTTCCAGGGCGCAATATAAATATCGAGGATGTACTCATATGTCCTACCCGTACCCGATATTGTTTACTTTTGACGTATTTATACGTCCCGCTCGGTTCATAGGCTAATCATGCCACTGGAATGATCAGACATAGGTGTTCAGCGAAAAACGTTCCAGACAAAAATATTTTGTCTAAACCTTGGATGTGATATTGCCTTGTTCAGTTATCAGATTAGTTGAACACGAAGTCAATTAGAACAACTCATACCATGCACATTTTTTCAAAAAGTTAATATAGGTTGATGAATTGAATGTTACAATTAATGACTTTACATGAATGGTACAATTAATGTTACGGGTCGGGAGATCTGATACCTGATTCACTTCGTAAAGAAGATGATCGTAAATATAGAAATAAAATAAACAGATATTGTGTATAAAATATATTTATTGCTGTTCCAGAAAAAAAAAGAAATCACGTAGCACTTATCGTTACGACAGCTATTGGTTACAATTCACCCTTGAAAAATGAAATTAAATGTATCGCATGGACAGATCTTGTTTGGACAATGACAGCAATAAATAATCGTAAATTTTCAAAGTGAAATAATGTTTGTCATGCAGATTATTTCTCCTTGTCGCGATTTTGGATTGTTCTTCTTTGAATCCAGTTTTGTATCCCTTTCCTGAGCGGCTCTGTGTATTGCGTTCCGTAGTATACCGGGTGAACCATTTTAATCGAAGGACCCAGGTATTTTCTCAGAAGTAATTAATTATTAATAGGAATTATTTAATATGAAAAATAGGTCCGACGTGCATATTACAAGATTTCCTTAATGGTCCAATGTACGTGTTCAGAATAATGATAATCTAATAAATTATGTTTTGTGTTACATCTGAACTAATGTTGATTACTGCAAACTTCTTGATATTTTAGTGATGACACTTCAGTAAACATTATTAATAATAAAATTGGTAATCATATATATGTGTAACGAAGGCTCGTTCGTTACTATTATTTAGAGGTGGGCAAGTGAGGCGCACTCACTCATGCAATATTGAGGCGGGAAGGGGGAAGAGGCAAATCAATGAAAATGGTTAATAACTTTATACACATAAACAACATTCGCATTTAAACAAATATAATTTCATTAAGCCAAAGTTAAATTACACTTAAACTTCGCAAATACCGCATATTAACAAAACGCATTACACACTCTTTAATCGACTAACACAACGACGTCCTTAACAACTATTACAAAGAAAGAACAAATTAACCATCTAATCGCGCTCACAAATATCTAGAAAACACAACGCACGTCGCCCGGCAGATGACCGCCTTGACGACGAACCGACTTGAGCTAATTGGCTAAAAGAGAAAGTCATCCGGCGAGGGATCGCGCGATTTACTGCCCTACCGTCATTAGGGCAGGTAGCCGGCATGTGCACGTCTTGCTACCCACCTAATGTTAAAATTCGCGTACAGTGCCGTCGATGAAGAGAGAGAGAAAGAGAGAGAGAGATTAGATTGAAAACTAGACCTTGGTTCTGGAGCGGGAGTCCTGGCTGCGCCCTGCGCACGGTGTCGTAGGTCATCGCTGGACAAGTCCTGTCGGCTTCCTCTCGGCCCTCTGTCTTCGGCTGAACTTCTTCGCCGCTGGCAGTCCACCATCCTGCTCTGGTTGACTCCGAAAACCTTCCTAGTTTCTCCTCGACTTACTTGCATCTGTCGCTCGTTTTTTTTCTCGCGACCTACAGCTTCTTCGCCGATCTTTTCTCTCCCCACTTGACCTACTTATTAGGCGGTGCGCGACCAATGCGCTAATTGGTTCGAAACGCGCCTCCAACTATTTCTCTCTCTCTCTCTAACATCTCTATACTCTCTCTGTCGCCAGTGCAGTCGCTTCGGGCCTGCTCGGCCCCGCTCGGCAATCTCCGTCAGATGAAACATAGACTATGCATTAAACGCAGTCTTAAATGCGCCTAACGCCGGTTACCGTGCCTTGCCGAGAGAGAGGGGAACTTGGTAAAATTCCGACGAGAACAAGCGCATCGCTTGCTTTCGTCACACCCGCTTCCAGGCCAAAGTTCGCACCTGCGAACGGCCTCATCTCCATTCTCACAATCTCTTTCTCTCGACTAGCAAGTGGCAACCAAAGTTAAACGCTCATACCTAAATTAACAACTTCATCATAGCTTAATTAAACATAAGTCTAGGTTGGTAACAATCAAATTAGACTAAGGACAAAAATTTATCAATCAAGAAATGTCAAATTGAGGTACCAAGCGCGTCATTGTGGAGAATCGACCAATCCACGATGCACCAAAGATCGCGATTTAACCAAACCTTAAACTGGACAAAAGGAACTTACCACTATTGTTGTCGCCCAAGCCACTCCAAATACCGGAGCTTGAGCGCTCGGAGCCCTTCCACTGAAAGTGGAGGTGAGCTCAATCCGGATAGCCTACTGCCGGCAACCTCAGCCGCCTCGGGCACAGATACTCTGGCGTCACGATTGACCGGCAGACTCACGGATACCGGCGCCCGTTCCGTCGGCGCCGCGACCTCTACTCGCGCGGTGCCGGTCGTACTGGTCTCAGTTTGGTTTCCCTCTGCGGCAAGTGTTGTACGCGCGAGCCTCTCCCTGTGCTTCTGACCGCACCTGTGTCGGTGATTCTTCGTCTTTGGCTCCTCGACGGAAGACTCGGGACTGGCTGTCTCTGGCCTCGCCTCAAGGACCCTTGATTCCGGCTCCACCGATTTTGACCACGAAGCCTGGAGTCTTACAGGATCACTGGAGCGTTCCCGAGCTCTTCCTTCCTCCACGAGCATCCTGTGCGCCTGGTTTGTCCTAAAGACATCGCGGCAGCGCCGGATAGTCATGGACGAGGACGCCGAGTCATCCGCAATTCCGGCATAACGGACGCGGATTAGGCGGT